TAGGAAAGTGAGCCATTAAAAAAAATGGGCCTAAGGCCCATTACTAATATGATTTGTTAAGTAGGCATACAACAATTTGACATGAGGCTAATATGGGCTATGGATATGGGTATGGAATTCCCATTCTTCTAATAAGATAGCGTTTATCCATAAAGATAAATCCTAATCCAAATCTGATTTAAATCCAACTCCTAGTAGGACTAGGAAAGTGCTCTATATAAGGGAAGAGAGGGATGGGCAAACCATTCAATCCTAAGCTCTCTCTCTCTCTCTCTCACCTCCCTTGTTCCAATGAAACCTTAGTTCATTCCAGACCTAGTAAGGATTATTTTCTTTCAAATCCTAATTGTGTTTTTGGAGAAAAACATCAGTTCTAAGAAGGCTCACATTGCTGCATCAATCCCAAGAAGATTGGAGGTCTAAAGTGCAAAAACTGTGTTATTGAATTGGCTTCAGTTCATTGTTGCGCCATCTTCAATAAGAGGCCATTTTGGGTCTGACATTGGGCGTGAATTACCACTTTGAGAATTGTATTTGTGAACTCCGTATCAGGTATAATCAGAAATTAATGAGTTTTAAATTTGGTCTGATTCAATACAAGATTGACCCCAAAATTTCAGATTTCAAAGTCACCAGGAAATTGGTTCTTGATTTGGGTTAGAAAAAATTTTTAGATTTGCCCAACCACTAGATCTGTTTCAACCTTGTCTAATCTGATTTCTAACCCATCCAACAAGTGGATAATATCTTGGTAATGTTTTTTTTTTTTTTTTTTTTTTTTTTTTTTTCTGTAAAATTGATTTGGAAAATACTTATGATAGAGTTGATTAGAATTTCGCGTCGAAGATATTGGGAGTTAAAGGGTTTGCTACAAATGGATAGGAAGGAAGAAAGGATGTATTTAAATAGCCTAGTTTTCCATCCTTATCAATGAGTCTCTTAAAGACTTTTTTTTTTAAAGTATTTTAAGGCTTTTTGATGGTTGAGACAAGGCTACACCCCCTCCCTTTAACCTTAGCGGCAAACATTTTAGATGCATCATGTAAAAGATGCTAATTTGGATCTCATTCATAGCTTCAAGGTTGGACAAGAGAATATTCTTATTTCTCACTTTTATTATAAAAATGACACCATCTTCTTCATAGAAGACAAGAAACAATACTTCCTTAACCACAAGACGATGTTGAAATGGTAATTGTGATGAAGACTTGGATAAGAATAGAATTATCAAAATCTACTCCTTTCTCACATAATGGATGAGCTTTAAGAAGCTTTGGGTTGTAAAATTGATTTTTAGCCAATTGATTACTGCGGTCTCCCTGTTAGAAGTAACACTTAAGTTGTTGGTTTTTGGTATAATAAGTTATTGAAAAAATGTAAAAAGAGATGAAAAACTTTGAAGAGAAACTATATCTCCAAAGGCGGTAGCTTAACAATTAGCAAGGAAACCTTGTCAAATCTTTCCACCTAAAACCTTTCGATTTTTAAAGTTCCCAGCTAAGGTGAGAGATAAGATTGAAAGGATCTAACATGACTTTCTATGTGATGGAGGTGGTGAAAAAAGATATCATTTAGGGAGGAAAGAAATTGTGTACAATTCAAAAAAGAAAGGAGGATAGAGTAAAACTCTCTTTAGTCCTCTTTATGGAAGCAACAATTCGAGAAGGGGTAGCAACCGACCTTTACCTAACTTCTCATATGCGAATCCCCTTAAAGGCATTCTCCAAACTCTTGACTCTTTGTCTTCCCTATTTGTCAATCCTTATGAAACAGGGCTTATGCTCATGACTCCTGTCTCTATTCCATCAAAAAATTGGTACGATGCTTAATTTCTTCACTATAGTATATCTTATTAAGAGGCTTTTATCAACTGTACTTAACAATTGCTCACCATTTTAACAAGTCTATGGGAGACCACCAAACTACACTTCTCTTAAAGCATTCAGTTGTGAATGCTTTCCTCATCTATGATTCTATAATATTAACAAGATACAACCATGATCTCTCAATTATGTATTCTTGTTCTATATGAATTGTCATAAGGTCTATGCTCGTCTTCACCATGATTTTAGAAGAATCTTCATTTCTAGGAATGTTTTTTTCCAGTGAGCACTATTTTCCTTTTGCTCATGACAAACGAGTTAATCCTATTTTGTGCCCCATGCACTTTTCTCACTTGTTCCATCATGCATGTATCACACTAACAGTGGCACAAGACTCCACCTCATTGCCTATTCATTCACCTGTTGGGTCCTTCACCTTTGTACTAAAAAGACTATCTCACCACTAGTTCACTCCCTGTTGCTAGTGCACTATTAGCTTCATTACTTTTAAGCTTATGTGCCCTCTACAACCCGAAACATACTCCCCAATCAAGCTCTCTCTCGGAGATTGAACCTAGTTGCTACACTCAAGTATAGAAGAATCCTCGGTGGGTCTTGCAATGGCTGAGTACTAGGCCTTGTTGCAAAATGATACATGGACCTTAGTTCCACCTCTTTCTAGTAAAAATATCATTGGTTTTCTTAGGTTTGAGAAGCTCATTTAGTGTCCAAAAGTAAAATACAAGAAACTAGGCTAGATTATGATGAGACCTTCAGCCCAATTGTGAAACCCACCACCATGCATATAATCTTGTCTCTTGTGGTTTCTAAAAATTGGGAGATACATCAATTGGATGTCAATAATGCATTTTTACATGACTTACTTTAGGAGGTATATATGCACTAATTTGTAGGACCCATTTGCCCACATTTTTTTTCATCATGTTTGTTGCCTAAATCGCTCCCTCTATGCCCTCAAACAAGTTCCTCAAGCTTGGTTTGATGGGCTATGTGATCATCTCTTAATATTGGAGTTTCATGAATCTTGTGTTGATGCATCTCTTTTTATTTCTTGCTATGGAGGTGACATCCTTCTAGTATATTTGGAGCTACCATCTCTCATCTTCTACAACAGCTTGCATCGCAATTTTCTTTAAGAGATTTGGGCCTAGTCCATTGTTTCCTTGGAATAGAGATGAAACAGATAGCCATGGTATACATCTCTTTCAACACAAATATATACATGACATATTTCATTAGTCTCATATGCATGAGGCCAAGCCCATTTCCACACCTAAGGCATCGTCTTCTCGACTTGACTCTTCTAGGGTGAGGTACTAGTTGATCCTACCTTCTATCATAGTATTGTGGGGGGATTATAGTATATCACTTTAACAAAACTAGAGATCTCTTTCTCTGTGAATAAGATCTATCCATTTCTCAAGGCCCCCACAATAGTTCATTAGACTGCAACTAGAAGAGTGTTGAGGTATCCTAAAGATACTATTGATTTTGGACTTCTCCTTGAGCCCTCTCGTGATTTCACTGTTTTTGCATACTCAAATTCTAAGCTAGTTGTCCTGTCAACCGCTACTCTCAAAGTGGCTATTTTTAGTCTCTAACTTAATTTCTTGGAGTTCTCATAAACAGTCTATAATTTCTCAATCGAGCATCGAATTTGAATGTAGTAGCTTAGCTTTTAGGTTTTATGGCTGGCAATGTGCTTGGAGAGCTTGGTGTTTCAACCAGTTCTACTCCAGTCATTTGATGTGACAACATAGGGGCTTAATTTCTATCCATTAATCCAACTATTCACTCTTGTACCAAACACATTGAGTTAGATATTCATTTTGTAAGAGAAGATTTCTTCTAAAGCCTTTGACGTGCAATACATCTTTTCTGATGCTTAGCTTGTAGACATCTAATACTAAATATTTCTCCTATCCTTAATTCAGCCTTCTCCAATCCAAGCTCACTGTACTCCCCCGTTAAGCTTGAGAGGCAGAGGGTGTAAACCATAAGAACTATTGAGAAACTTGCATGGTTAATGCACCAAGTTTCAAAATATCAATATGCCTGATACGTCAGTAGGGGTACATCGGGCGAATCAATACTGCATTTTGTGCCTTTTTTTTTTTTTGCAACTGGTTCAGGGGGGCCGGTTTAAGGATCCTCCACCCCCTGAACTGATCAGACCCCTGATACACCCACTATAGAGACATATCGGAGGGGTCCCAGAACAATACATATTGGTCGATATGGGCCAATACATGTCGATACTTTGAACCTTGTAATGCATTCCCATGAAATTGTTATTCAATACTGTTAAAATTGTTGTAAAAGATGAATGCTCATCTAGATCCTATTATTCTACATTTTGTGAATCTTTTACCTTGTTTAGATTAGTCTGTGACAATTGAAAGCCCATGTTTATTCTTCATTCCTTTTGGGAAAACCATACTAATTCCTATGACTTGATTATAAACTACAGTTATATTTTAACTAAATGACTTAACCAAATTAAAACTGAACCAAACCGATTTAAATTCGGTTCGGTTCAGTTCATTAAAATGACCTAACTGAAATGCCGGTTAGCTTCTATTTCCAAACCAAACAAAACCGAACCAACCCAACCGAAGTATATTCTTATTAGAAATTTCCGTTGCATCCACCATCAATTTGACATTTACTAAGAGGTCAATCTTGTATTTATACAATACTAAAAAAAATAAAAACAAAACAATCTTGTATTTGTATAATTTGATTAACTTTTTCAGTATGAATTAATTGTGGATTATTAACACTTTCGAAGACAACCCAATCGTAAAGAAATATTAAGGAATAATTTACCTCTTAACGGTTTATAAACTTTTTTGACAGCTTGTACCATAGATTCGATGTAACTTGTCATTATACAATTTCATTAAAAGTCTAGCAAAATTGATCCAGATAGGGACAATTGATGGCTACCAAAAGTAATTAAAGTCGAAAGACCATTTGAACAAACGAGATAAATAGTCCTTAATTATAGACCCCTCTCATACTAACGAACTCTGCATCCGCTTTGGACGAACAAGAATACTTCTAGGATCAAGGGATGTCAGTAGCACATTTTTCTTAGATGAAACGAATATCACATCCTGAAGTCTTGTTTGGCCATAAACATACTTCCCAATCAAATCAAACCAAAGAACTTAAAACGACTTTATGATTACTTCCTCTAAGAAAATTACAGTCAGCCCACCTAATTTCAATGTTGACGACTTTTCTTCAATGTCCATAGTAATTGGTGTATTAAAGTAATAAAACAATAATAATCTAAGAAAGGAATAAAGGTCTAGGAGGATCTCTAGGAGATCTAGATGAGCATTCATCTTTTACAACAATTTTAACAGTATTGAATAATAGGATATTAAATTGTTATTCCTTAAGAATATATGGAAATGGAATCCCCACTCTACCACACACTAAGAATATGTACAAACTTGACTGGAATCGGTTTCAAGGTATAATTCTTGCACATGAAACAGTGTCATTGCAGGAATGTTACAAAATTTACCAGGTGCCTACAATATTTGGTGTCATTCCACATCTGAAACTTCATCTTCATTTTCTTCAAGAATATAGACAAGGGCACGCTTCCTTGCAGCAAAAACACAAGCAACTCCTCGAGAAGCTGTAAAAATATATACTCTAAATTATAAAAGGAGAAAGAAAAATGAAAGTGCATTTAAACAAAACAATGTTATCGAAGTGTCAACCAGTCAAATCGACTAGTTAATTAGGGTCATACTGACTGCTTCACCATCGAGTTAGTCGAGACTCATGATGCAGTCACTCGACAATAATGCATTCACAAGGTTGACTAGTTAACTAGCGAGCAATCAATAGTGTCAAGCATATAGTTATTTTAAAATTTCATGTTTTTAAGTTTATATGTAATTATTTAGAACAGTACCATATATGCTTTATTTTGTACATTTATTCAATTATTATAGTTGCTTTAAGCATTTGTTATTAGATATCATTGGTTGTATGCTATATAAATAGAAGTAAAACGTATGAAAAAAAGAAAATGATAGAGGAATTCTTTCTTCTTCCAATCAGTGTACACTTGTATGGAGTTACCATAGATAAAGGGGGAACCAAATGTTCGCATATCATTCTTTATTTCTAAGCAAAGATTATAAACTAAAATGTTCTAATATCATTCTTTTATTGCATATTTGTAGCATATATTAAGTTGTATATGACCTTGAATCAATGTCTTGCATTTATGATGTCTTTTTTTTGTTATTTGATTGCATCATGTAGAGAGACCAATGATTAGTCATTGCGTGACCACATTAAAACTTGTTTTCTAGAAAACCAAAAAATTAATAAAAGAATGATAAACTGAAGTAAGAATGGTAGAAAATTAGAAACATGAAGAAAGGAAGAAGACAAATTGGAGTGGGTGACTCCCTTAGAGCTGAGATCTTTGCAATTATGGAAGAAGTACAGAAAGCTAAGGAGTTGAACATCAAGAAACTCTTAATTGAAGGGGATTCAGAGGTGGTGATAGGGTGGCTGATTAAAGATCACAATGGCTTATGAAAGTACAATAATGAGAGGAGGAAATTCAAGTGGCTGGTGCGGGAGATGGAAGTTAAGATACTTTGGGTTAAAAGATCGGCTAATTCCCTAGCGGACGGTTTAGCTAAACAAGGGGCAGAAAGGGATTCACTTTTTTGGACTAAGCTGTAACTATAGTGTGTTTTCTTTATTTTTTTCTTTTCTTGAGGTTCTTTGTTGCTCTTGGAAGATAAGTGTGTTTGTCTTCCTATTGTAAATCATCTTTTGATGAGTTAATGAAAGTGTTATTGATCAAAAAAAAAAAAAGAATAGAAGAAAAAAAAAGTCTAGTTGCCACCCCTATTAACAAATAAACAGGTACAATGACTCAAATGTAAAAGGTTCACTACAACAGCCCCCTTCCCAACCTCAAATCAAAATTATCACCCAATGTAAAAGGAAAAATAATGATACTATGAAAAAAAAGTTTAGAAACTTACCACTAACAGCTAATGGAACAGTTACAAAGTGAGGGATATATCGGATTTTTCCATTCTCCATAAGAAAGTTCACAACATAATCCTAGAAGTAACAAAATCGTATTAGCAATGATCTGTGCGCATATATAAATGGTTTGAAATCTATGATGAAAACTGAATAGCAAAAAGTTAGTACATATATAAATGGTTTGAGGTTGCCAATATAAGATCAAATCAGCCTACATTGCTCGTATAAGGTAAAGAATGCATATTAGTTATAGCTTTGAAGGTTGAAGCTCAAGTGAGTCAGAGCCCAGGGCCGAAACTAAGTTCTATCCAGGGTACATCTTCATTGATAGGTTGAAGTGTTGGGGCCAGTAAGCGCTGTGTAATTAACCAAACAAAGAGCAACCAAGGACAGCCTAATATTAGATGTTTGTGGTATTGAGTTGGGACATCGTTCCAATGAATGTCCTAAGTGAATGACTGAAAGGCTAACGCAGTTGGTTGACGAAGTTATTGATGAGCAGCAAGATGACATTGGCCATGTTGAGAAGGACAACCAACTGAAACCATTGAAGCTAATGCCTTAGAGGAAGAAAACATGGAAGGAGAAAGTACGTAGAAACAAGAGGGCATAGAGAACAGTTAGAGAAAGAGAGAAAGAAATCTGAAAGGAGAAAGGATAATGAGGTCTGCAGCTTGTTTCTGTTATTTAATTATTCCAAACTTTCGAGGAAAAGGACATAATACCCCTTACACCTCAATATATACATATATTTATCAACACTCCTCAAGATGAGCATAGTTATTTAACATAACCAACTTGCTTAATTTACAATCCAGAATAAACTTTGGAACACCATTGATCAAATCAGGTCAAATGGCAGGAAAACTTTCCCAAACTGTTTAGACCAAGTGAGATCAGTTATCTATCTTATATCTTAGTCTTCATCTCTCCCCTATTTTGCCTCCTCGGTTCTTCTCTTTCTCTTTGTCATAACCCTGACTGTTTAGATATCTTAAGTGCTGTTTGGCAAGTCTTTTTAGAAAGATCTTCTAGCAACCCAGATGGCCAAAATACATCTTGAGCTTTTGGGGTCTTGTCTTTAAAGACAAAGACGGTTTGGTAAGCGGTTCGGTCTACCAGGCTTTTAAAAATGCATTTAGAGGCTATATATCACAAGAAAGCTTCATTTGAAGCTTCCCAAAATTCGGCATTTTTGGTCTTTTTGGGTCTTTCCACGCACACGTCTTCTCATCTTTCCAGCTTTTGGTTACCGATTTTCAGTCTTTCGAGCTTGCCGAAGCCCAGAAGACCACATAGAAAGATTTGCTAAACATAGGGGTGGATTCGAGCTGAGCCAAGCCGAATAGTGCCAGGCTCGAGCTTGAGCTTGAGCTTGAGCTCGGCTCGAGTCAAAAGTTCATAAGCTCGAGCTCGGCTCGGCTCCGCTCGTTTTATATTTTATAAAAATAAAAATCATATATAATTTTTTTATTTTATATTTAAAATATTAAGAATTATAATAATTGATAATTATAATATTTTTATTATTTATATATATATATATATATATATATATATATATTCGAGTCGGCTCACGAGCCTCACGAGTTGAGCTCTAATAGGCTCGAGCTCGACTCATTTAATAATCGAGCCACTGTATTGGGCTCGAGCTCGGTTGAAACCGAGCTGAGCTCGAGTAGCTCGTGAAAAGCTCGGCTCCTTGCCATCCCTAGCCAAACGCCACCTTAATGAATAAGTGAAAATCCTAAGAATAGTTGTAGGTGGCAATTTTTTGTTTTCTGTTCCTCCCTCCTGTTATCTCATATGTTTATTTAGGCAAGTTCAAACAAGGCAAAGGGCTGGTCATATCTTAGATTTTAAACAGTACAGAACTACAATAGCAGTTTATGAACATCTTATCTATACAAACATATGAGGAATTAGAAGTACAAAAAGCCTAACAAAAGTATTGTTCAAAGTAAAAATAATTCAAAAAACCTAATGCACTGAAGGAGAACAAAACAGTGGAGGAGGAAGTACCTTCAATTCGTGCAGTGCCCACTTGTGTGAATTACTTGGTCTTGAAACAGACAGAAATGGAAGGTCACATGCTTGTACAATCATCATTCGAGCATTTTCAGGGCTATCAGATGTGCTAATTCTTTCATTTAATAACAGAACAATTTGACTTTCCTGTTCCAATGCATAGAAACTATAAGGGATGACATATAGAGAAAGTATACAAAACATATATGAGATATGGAGATCATTACTTTATAAAGCGATAGATCAACACATTCATATTCATCAGGAACACATAACAGTACTGCCTCCAAAGAAGTACAACTCTTCCCAGAATCAGTTGAGCCATGCATAAAACCTCTTGCTATGCCTATACAATTATGCATGTTTGAGAAAGATTCATCAGGTATTCTAAAACAAATATAGTCCATCAATCTTTGTTGCAATGTCTGACAAGATGAACCAGCAGTGCAGATGTCCTGGCAAAAAAACAAAACTATCAGAATTTGTAGTCCACAACAATGACTCAGTCATAATCTAGAATGACAGAAGAAATTAAAGCTAAAAAACAAGTGTATGAGTAGCGAGTGCAATTGTAAACGCTGTGTTATGATTACAAGTGAACCTGGCTTGCAATTTCAAGATTGATGGATATTGCTATGCAGAGTTGGGGGAAGTTCAGGGATATTTTGCTAATTTCACTAAGATATTTGAGAAATCTAAAGAAATCAGGGAAATTTACAAAAGAAATACAAAAATTTCTCATAAAACTTCATAAATTGTTAAAAAAAGTATAATTTTACATTTAAGACTTCACTTGTAGTTTAAGACAAGCTTAAGAGACCTAAATGAGTATCTCACCACCTTTAGTTTCACTTCTATATGTATGTCATTCAATTATCATTTGGCTTGCCTTTTTTGTTGCTATATGTTTCAATCATATTGAGAACTTTCTCTTTTGTAGTTTTTTATTTTGTCAAACTATGGTGAGTTAGTATCTGAATCATATTCAAAACAGTAAGCTGATCGTCCAACCATAAAATCCCTATAGAATTGAGTCAGGACATCTCTAGGAGGGGAATTAACCTCTAAAACTGGCCAGATGCCCTGATTGCCTGTATTTACTGTATGGGGGACCAAAAGATACGATACAACCGATAAGGGATGCATCATATCAATAGTTCAATACTTTGATCTATGTTTTAGAGAAAGCTATTGATGATTTAACAAAATATCAGAAAGTTTTGATGATATTCTAAAACTTTAAGTCTAAGATGTGTAATTTATTTGTGAAATTCAAAATTTAACTAATATATTGGAAAAATGAGGGAAAAGAAAGATTCTTGGAATATTTTTATCACCCTTTGGTAAAATGGGGAGATTTCACCAAATCTTACCAATATAGCAAGGTGTGATTGTAAAACAAGGACCTTATCAAAGTGAAACAAGGAAGAAGTTTGAGTTGTATGAGACTACTTCCAAGTAGGCTGACTATTTGATTTAGAGTCCATGAAGCTGCCCAATGAGCAGCAGGCAAGAGCACTTCCAAGAACAATCTAATGGAGGATAGGAGGTTTTAGTATTTGGGGAAGACGAAAGAGACCTTTCATCATGTCTTATCTGTTTAGGAAGGTGATTCTGGTCAAAACGTGATGAGTCTCTTTAACCCAAATTTCCTAAGTGGTAAGTCTCTTTAGCCCTTCTTATATAGGGTGCTTGCCAGGTGGTTGTTTTGGATTGTCACTATTTGCTCTATGTTCTGGTTATTCCTTAAGGTCATTATAATCCATGTTCCACTTATCTTTAATAAACTGTTTTCCCATAGGCTATCAAAAGGGAACAAAAAGAGTTATGAATCATCTACAGAAGAAATGCCACTCATGAACCAACAATTCAAAACCTGTTGGATGTAGGAAAGGCAGCAACTTCATATTTCATTCTACCCTGCCCAACAAGGGGCCATGATACAAGATATACACACAACAGGTTAATGCTACACGGTACCCATAGTGCAAAGGTAAATATTTTGAACCACTTGTAGGGAAAATTTAATGCGACTTCAGGAGTATAGGGAGGGAGGCGTGTTCATTGGGTCCAACCAAATTTATAGGTATCTAAGACTATAATGCATAAAAGAAAATGTATTTCAGAAAAAGGAAAATTAAAGTAATCTGTGTTGTAAGACTCAAATCTGAAAAGACAGTTGGCTTGCAACCCAGTCCATAAAAGCAGCATTTTACATAACTAGTTTCCCAAGCTGTTGACTTGGTAGTCTTCATTAATAACCTCCTCCTTGCTAGCATTATCTCTCTTCTACATGTGTCTTCTGAACTCCAACTTGCCAACTTTTTGATGAAGGCTATATGACTCGAGCCTGACACATTTCTTATGGACAACTTGATGCCAATTCCCAGGCTTTAGTTTGAGGGGGAGTGTAGAGATGAAGAGAGATAGAGGGTTATTTTTTGTCTTTTTATACTTTGTACATTAGATTCTTTCTTATTCTTTTGCACACTATTTGTATATTGAGGACAGGATGATCCTTTCACTATTATAATATAAATTCTATTTCCTGGGTGTCAACTGTCACTTTAGACACACCTCAACATTTGCTGTCTTCTTTTCTTAGTCTCACGATCTGACTGTGACAGAAACGTAACATTTTATAAACATCACACCTAGAGAGAAGATGGCATCACACCTAGGGAGAAATATAACATTACTCCATGGGTGGCAATCCAACTTTACAGAAACATTATGAACCCCCTATAGACACTCAAACTCATGCACAACACAAAAATTAATTTTTCACAGAAGACAAATGATAAGAATGTTCAAAGAAGACTAAAACTAGAAATCAAATCTTCACACAGAAAGCACAAGTTAAGAATTAAGAAATGCATGTAAAATAACAATACCTTATAATATGATATTGATGTAGGTATCTGTAACAAAGAAGACGCTGCTGAAGATGAAACTGGAAACAGGGGCAGGATGTTTTTGCAATGTATTTTTTTAGAAATTGTAGTAAAAGGCATAAGGAAAGCCTCCTTGAAACTGAAGTTGAAAAGTAAAGAAATGACAGTCAGAACACCTCCAAGGATATATAATACAAGGAAATGTTTTTCTAGTAGAAGGTTATTTATCATAACAATTTCAACTAGGGAAACAGGATAACAGGAATTTATTATATAAGGTTTAGTGGCAGTTCAGAATTTACAACATGTGCTTTATTGGTAGCTGAAATGATATATTTATTGACATATTTCCTGGCTGAAGACAACCATGTGGACAGAAGTGTGGCCTCTCTCATCTTTTTACATAGATTACGGATGCTACACATGATCCTTTGGTCAGGATTGCATTGCTGATTTGGTTTTTTAGATTAAAGGATATTATAAATTATACTTTCTTTTATAGAACGAAAGTAATACAAACTTCTTTCATTGGACTAAATAAAATAAGATGGTATTCTATAAGAGCTTTTGAACCAAGTTTTCGATCTCCTTAAGAAGATCTAGTACATACACTCAAAAATCAATATCCTTCATATGACATTGAAACTATCCCGAGGAAGTGTTTAAGAAGATCTACATCTTTTATTTCAAATTCATTACTAGAAACCCAATTTGAAAGAGAAAATTAGTCTTCCATTCTAATAATGCTATAAAGCATTTGAAGAGTAGTCTCTCTCTTCTTTTAGAGAGGAAAAGGACAATCTATTAGAGTGCATACCCCTCAACCAAATTGGGTACTTAAGAGGAATAATTGCAATGTAATAGAAGTTATAAGGGCATTAATCTTCAGAGATCTAATCTGCCTCTTAGATTTTAGTGTGATGCGATGAAGAAAACAGCCTCCATCATCTCTTGCTTCCTGATCCATCTCCGCTTTTTTCTTCCATTGTGAATGTTTGGTTGTGTATGTTTTATGCATGATCAAAGACTTGATTGGTTTAAATCGAATACCAATGTTGTAAAAGGAATTATCTAAGATCTTCCTCCATCCAAAAGGGTGACAATTGTTCTGATCATGTTACAAGACATTTGATTACTAAAATGTCATTTTCTTTGAGTCCACCCCATTTATTCTCATTTGCCTACTTTTAGGAGTAGTTATGGAGTCTATTTTGTCTCCTCCAATCATTGTTATTCTCGTATATGTTACTGCTACCACTAGAGTGCCAAATGAGAAGTTATAGGTATACTCTCATTGATTGATAGTAACTGCCAATGTTGATCTATCATAGTTCAAAGCAAACGGAGGGTTGACACATTCTCCTATTCGTTCTACTTTAGTTGTTCCTGATGATTGAGTTGTTCATAAGAGTAAACATCAAGGGTTGACACATTTGACCTGAAAGGTTGAATTGTTGACCTGCCACCAAACAAGAAAACAATTCCATTTTCATCATCAATAAAAATAATACTTCCCTAACAGACTTATTTTTCTTTCATATAATTAATATAAAATATTAGACATTTGACAATGTTTTTTATAAAATTTATGTATTCTTTGTCATTCTTTTGTAAAATATTAGATATTTGACAAAAACCAAAAATCAATATTTCTAAAATCATAAAACCGAACTGAACTGAAAACCAAAATAACCAAACCAAATTGGCTTATTCGGTTTGGTTTGGTTCGGTTTTTGGTTTGATAATTGAATTTGAAGCCCCTATTCAAAGGATCAAATAGTTGACCTGCTGCCAAATAAGAAAATAATTTCATTTTTGGGTCAGCTTAAAATTTTATATTTCATTTCCAACATAAAAAAAAAACAATTATTATTTATGACACTTATTTTTCCTTAATATGATTAATATAAAAATGTTAGATATGTGCCCAATTTCTTCATTTTTTTGTAATTTTTGTATTTATTTCTATTTTAAAAGTTTTATTGTTTAAAACCATGACATCATGGGTTGACCATTTTGACCTAGATGGTTGAATTGCTTATTTGTCACTAGGATGGAAGAAATGCTCCCTTTTTAGGTCAGTTTTTGAAAAGCATGGGTTAAATATAGGATTCAATGAGAGAGAATGGAAGTTTTTTTATTTCCGATAATTGAAGAGGAATTTTATTAAGAAAATATGAGAACTGTTACAAGTGTCCCAATGAGAGAGAATGGAAGTTAGTACCTTTAATATAAAACTTAATGGAGGAATTGAATGAGGTGAATAAATTTTTCCCTCACAATTAAAGAGTGACCAAATTCAAAAATAGAGGTAATTTAGTCAAGAATAGTTTTCAATAAAAAATAATTTAAATGAATACCTTAAATATAAGGTTTAATGAGAGGAAATCAAATCAAGTGAAAAGTAGTGTTTCAAATTACATTTTCTACCCTCACAATTAGAGATGGACCAAATTTCAAAATAGGGATATCCCAATCAAACAAAAGTTTCACACTGTCATTAGTACATCTAATGGTAGTATGGATATAGATTTGAGGTGTATAGCTCATGCATCTAAAGCGCATGCCTCAAAGTCTTCCGTGCCTCCAGCTTACACCTTAGGGCATTTTGAGTGTGCCTCTAGATGTACACCTCAAATGCCATTTAAATTATTGCCACTAAATACCCCCCTACCCCACCTAGGAACAACAAAAGAAAATGAACTTATTCAAGAATACTTGTTAAATCACATGACATTTTTGTCAATTATCAAAAAAAAAAAAATACTGTGTCATAATACAGAAGAGAAGGATCCAAAGAAAAGAGTTACCTTTGCTCCATCTGCTCAAATTCCTTAGCTAAAGTTCTCTGCAAGTATCTAGTATCTGAAAACCCACCAAACTTAACTAACTCATTGACTCTTTGCATTGTTTCCCTGTAACATAGCATAAGTATTGTTTCAATTAACAGGAGTAGATATACTCATACAAAGCACATCCACAACCAGAAAGATGATAATAAAGGACAATTCAAGAGAGTAGCATATATTAATATGATTATTACCTATTAATTATGAATGGAAAAAAGCAAAACGAAATTAAACAAAAAATGAAATAAAGAAGAGACATGAAAATATGGAGATTCAAAGAATCGCGATCTTTGCAGTATATTAAGTCAGAGAAGCTACTCTACACAGTTCATATTGAATCCATTATTGATATGCCCTTTGCTGGCTTGCATCCTCAGACTACAAACAAGAATTACAGTGGACCTATGCATAACCTTTCCCAGAATTGGAAAGGTGAAGGAAAGGATAACTTTATCTCCTATATTGCTTCTCACCAAAAAGTCAAAATATTAGACCTCCATTTCAAGAAGTTGAGTATCTATGTCTAATTATAGATCCAAACATTTTTTCTAGTTGAATGGAACTACCACGTACATCCCTGACAGCAGTGGAGCATGCACCTTCCAGGATTATAATAGCATAATTCTTTCAAAAACCAAACGAGCCCTAGGTAAAACCTATAAAGGGCCCCTGTAAGGTAGTTGTCGGCAAATTAAGAAAGATAGGATTTGCGGCAAATTAAGAAAGATATTATTTGATTGATTAAGAGATTTGAATAAATTTAGGAAAGATTAGATTTGAATAAATTTAGGAAAGTCATCCTAGGATTAAGGGAAAGATTTAGTCAATCCCTGAGTGAGAGATTCAAGGGGTTTGTCTTTCCTATCTTTTTTTCTATTTAAGTTGTATGCTCAATATGTTTTATGATCAACAAAGAAAATTTTCCTCTTTTCTCCCTCTATATTTCGCAACATGGTATCAGAGCTCTAGGGTTCGATCATGAATTTTAAGGCCGCCATGGTTGGCTCTGATTCAGCATCTTCGGATGCTACCAGTGGTGTGACGTCTTCGGAGGGAGGTATTCAGTCAGCGGCTATTTCTCTTTCTGAGAATTCTCTTCAAATTACCATGCACAAATTGAATGGAAAAAATTATTTTGAGTGGTCTCAGTCCGTGCGGTTGGTGATCAACGACAAAGGGAAACTCGGCTATTTGAACGGTGAAGTGAAACCGCCAGCCACTGATGATCCAAAGTACAGGCAATGGCGTTTTGAAAATTCGATGGTTATCGTCTGGTTGATCAACTCTATGGATCCGGTGGTTGGAAAACCATTCATGTTCTTGCCGACGGCTCGCGATGTGTGGGAAGCTGTTAGGGAAACCTATTCAGATTTGGACAATCATTCACAACTGTTCGAACTGAATAACCGAATGTGGAAGATGCAGCAAGGTGAACGTGAAGTAACAACTTATTATAATGAGATGATGGCTGTTTGGCAGGAGTTGGATTTATTTGAAGAAGAAGAATGGGAAAGTCCGAGTGACAGTGCTCAGTACAAAAAGAAGATAGAAAGAGGCCGGGTTTTTGTCTTCTTGGCTGGTTTGAACAAAGAACTCGATGAGGTTCGGGGATGTATCTTAGGGCGAAAGCCCTTGCCTACTATAAGAGAGGTTTTTTCAAAAGTGCGTAGAGAAGAAGCACAACAACAAGTGATGTTGAAGAGTGTTAGTGAAACAAAAACAGAGAATGAAGGGTCTGCTCTTGTGGGCCGAGGTGCAGACTTAGACGGAGATAAACGAGGAGGAAAGCAGAGGCCTTGGTTTGATCATTGTAGAAAGCCATGGCATACTAGGGAAACCTGCTGGAAGCTGCACGGGAAACTGGCGGGTTGGAAGAAAAAATCAGGCAGTGACAACAAGTCAGGGGGAGATGTCCGCGCACTTCAAGTAAGCAACTCGAATTCCAGGGCAGCAATCATCCTCAGAGTCTCTTCCTTTCACAAAGGAACAAATAGAGCACTTATATAAAATGTTTCAATCTCAATCGTTAAGAAATTCTAACCCATCCTGTTCTCTAGCTCAGTCAGGTAATTTTTTCACTGCGCATCGCTGTACCAAATCTAATGGCTCATGGATATTAGATTCAGGTGCCACCGATCATATGACTGGCACTTCGCAATTCTTTTCTTCATATACACCCTATGCAGGGAATCAAAAGGTTAAGATTGTAGATGGTTTCTTTGCTACTGTTGTTGGGAAAGGAACTATATCTATTTCTCCTTCTCTAAACCTCAAAGATGTTCTGCATGTTCCTAATCTATCATACAATCTCTTATCTGTCAGCAAACTAACCCTTGATCATAATTGTCGAGTTAATTTTTGGTCTTCTGGTTGTGAATTTCAGGATTTAACCTTGGGGAAGATGATTGGGGGTGCTAAACAGGATGGTGGTCTCTACCTCTTTAATAAATGATCGACCTTTGAAAGGCAAGACCGACAAACTTGTTTCATTTCTATCTCTGTTTCTAGTGACATTGAAGTTTTGTTATGGCATTATCGATTAGGACATCCTAGCTTTCAATATTTAAAGCATCTATTTCCCAAGTTATTCATGAATAAAATCATTCAGTTTTCAAGTGTGAATCTTGTGAATTAGCAAAACATCATCGTGTTGTTTTTCAAGAGTAACAACTCTTTCTGGAAAACGTTGGTTCAGTACTTTTATTGATGATCATACTA